TTTTTTGACTTTGAAGACATAAATTTTAAATGAAAATATAACAATTTACATAAATAACAATTAAATTTTTTTATTAAATAAAAATACTTGACAAAGCTTATATAATTTTCAATGGCATAATAAATATAATAATCTTTTATCTCTTAAAAACTTTAATGGAGTGATTCAATAGTTAAAAACTTGATAATTTAATTTAAAGATTTCAAATTCAAATCTTAAGTTAGACAAAAAAAGCTATCATCTCTTGTATTTGGATGTAAAAAAAATTATATCATATTACTTAAATTTAAAATATCTTTTTTTATGATAAACTAACCTACTTATATAGTTGGTTATTAATTCAATATTTTGATTTAATTGTACATTCTTAATTCCCTTTTATTTTCTATACTGCCATACGGGGCCACCACTACATTTCCCAGATGCCAAGACCAAAGCATCTACTCCTCCACGCCATTTTTTCCTCTCTTTCCCAATCGAACATTTAAGGGAAAAAAGAAAAAAGAAAAAAAAAACAACAACAAAACTCTTCCCACGGATGTGTCGGTGAATTTGTATTTTCTCTCGTTTTCTCTCTCTTATCCCCCTTTCCCTCAACAATTCAACGTGTAACCTTAAACACTTGACACACCCTTAGCTGCGCTCCCAAACAACATGCCATGTAAACGCCGTCCCTTTATTAGTTCTTCCCTTCGCTAACCTCGACCCTTCTGTCTTAATTTCAGATAAAGACAGTGACAAACCCGAGTTCTATTTGGGTTTTCCATTGTTGGGTGCCGACGAATTTCGAACTCGGAATTCGGACTGTCTTTGTTTTGTACCATGGAAAATGGAACAGGGGTAACGGCGGGGAGAGAGGTTGTGGGGAGAAAGTCGGAGAGGCCGTACAAGGGGATAAGGATGAGGAAGTGGGGGAAATGGGTGGCTGAGATTAGGGAGCCCAACAAACGATCCAGGATTTGGCTGGGCTCCTACGCGACTCCCATGGCGGCGGCGCGTGCCTATGACACGGCAGTGTTCTACCTTCGTGGCCCGTCTGCGAGGCTAAACTTCCCGGAGCTTTTGGTCGGTGAGAGAGCCGGCGGTGCGCTCGGTGTGGACATGTCGGCGGCTTTGATACGGCAGAAGGCCATCGAGGTTGGCGCGAGAGTCGATGCGCTCGAGGCAGCGCATCATCGTCATAATCATAACCTTGATTATAATCGAGCGTACGAGCAGAACCATCATCAGACAGGCGGCGCCGCTGAGATGAAGCCAAGTGGCGGGTTTTTTCGGCGGGTTGACTTGAACAAATTGCCCGACCCGGAAGATTCGTAATAATCAGCGGTTGGGTTTGTTTCTCCGTTTGTCCTCTTTTGGCGGCTGAGAAGGGAGCAGGATAGTCGCTAAGATGCACCGCTGTGGTAGCTAACGTGCGCCGTGGAGGTAAGCTTAGGTGACAAATTAATGCCAAGGGCTTTGGCTTTATGTTAAATTGTTAATTGGTACCGTAGAAAAAAAAAAAAAAGTTGTTAGTAGTGTAATGGAAGCTTTTCTGTTTTTTTATTTAGACCCTTTTCATTTGAACTTTGTTCTCAAAATTTTGCTTTGTATATGATAATTGTATATTAAGGCCCTCTTATTTTAGATTTAGATATCTACTTTAGCTTAGTTAATGTCTTCTACTCTTCGCCCCATTTTCTGGTTTATGGTAAAAGAGGGTGTTTGAGAGAGGAAATCAAGTTATGAAATAAGAAAATTGAAGTACAAAAATATTAACGCAAATTAATGATTCCTTATCTTATATAGCTTATCATCATAATAATAATCAAGATTCGAAGAAATTGATTGATTTTTTTATATAATAATTTTAATTTACAATAATTCTTTTAAAATATAGGTATGGTTTAAATTCAAAATTTCAAGTAAAATCTTATAAGTTATTGAATTAAATCTCTCATTACTGGTCCAATTCAATAATTTTGTCGCGTAATTAAGAATAAAAAAGCATATAAGTGTTATAAGCGTAGTGGAAGTGTGAACTTTATAATGATGGAACAGTGCAAGTTGAAGGGATTTTGGCTTTAAAATTGATTAAAAGGGAAAAAAGAGGTAATGAGGGGAACAGCAATGGCCTACACATCCCAGCAGTTGTTGCAAATGGCCATACTAACCACTGAAGTTGTAACTACTAAAGTGATAAGATTTTGAGTTAGGTATTTTATGGATATTCACTGGTGAGTGCGTGGGTCAGCAGCAAGAGAGAAGAATGGATGAATTGCAATTGCAGTCCCCCCACCATTCCACCTCCACCATCATTTGGTCCAACTTGGTGGGTTTTTCTGCCTTCGTCACCCAACAATTTTCCATTTAATCTTGTCAAATCGCCGCTTCCTCCATAAACAACACTGCTTAATACTTCGAGGAATTGGTTTGACTAGTCTAATTTATAGGGACATCACGTGAAGATAAATCTTTGATGAATCATGTAAAAAGATACGAAAATTTGTCCGGTTTAAAACTTTGTTAAAACACCAACATAAGAGATTTTGATGCAAAGGCAAGAATAATTTTACTTGGCAAAAGCTATTTTACAGTTCATCTTGTAATAAATTGCAAAATTAAAATAAGCAAAGAGATGGGTCTTGATATTGGGGTCCACCTCTGCCTTCTTTTTTTGATGATCATAATCTTGCAGTCCGCTTATAACGAATTGTCTTACAAAAAGCTCTTTTACTTAATAAATTAAGTAGTAAATTGTAAGGTGAAATTACAATATAAATCTAACTATAATTTGTATTTAGTGATTTATAGTTGAATTTATAATATTACAAAACACCTTATATATATAAATGGTATATCTATAATCTACTGCTAAAAATTGTAGTCCCAATTAGTGGAAGAGTATTGTTTATTTAGAGTAATATACATTAGAGGACAGTATGGAGTAAGTCGTTTTTTTTTTAAATCTATTTTAAATGATATATTTAAAATTTTAGTTTGTAATTAATATTTAAAAAAAATTGATTGTTAAATTAAAAGTTTTAATTATATAAATCATGTATATTAATTTTTATATTGATTTAAATTATTTTTATATTGATCTAAATTTATAATTTTTTTATTTATTAATATATATTTAATAATATTAAAAATTTTTATAATTAATGAAGTGATTAAATGTACTAAAATAATTTTAAAATTAGTATATATATTTTATATGAATAAAATTTTTAATTTAATAATTAATTTTTAAAAATATTAATTTTCAAATAAATTCTTTTAAAAAAAAAAGACAATTCATAAAATACTTTTCCTTATATATTCCTTTTAAGATTTTAGGATTCTATTACTAGCAATGCAAAGATAATCAATGATTTGTTAATCCGAATGGATGGAACTCTATTTTATTTAAATAAGATTTTAAGTTTAAATATTGTGAATGAAGAGACAAGTGTTGGGAAAATTTTCTAACATGACTCGATTTCGAATTAGTTAGAACTAAAGTAACTAATTACCAAATATTGAAAAATTAATAAAAAAAATAATGCAGAGACAATTGCAAGGCCGGGATATTTGGTCGGCAAGAGTTAAAGAGAAAGAAAAATCCAAAAGACTACAA